ATTTGCACAGCTCCAAAGAGTACAACTTTCCAACTAACATTGATAAGGGATGTATATTTTTGCTAAAAGGCCAAGTTTTTCATCACGTCAGCGAGTTTTATCCATCCTTCATGCAGAAAACTCATGCCCTTCCAGTGCAAGTAAAAATATCTTTTTAAGGCCAAATATCAGGTTTCCCGGGAGCAAGCACTTAACATCAAACTTCACATCTTGTAAGGGGTTTCCAAAAATCTCTAATACCAGGCTGCAAGTCTGTACTGGAACTGGTAAGGAATACGAAACAATTTTAGTGGAAAGCCACAGCAAAACCTAACTAGCCCCTTTAAAATATAAAAGGGAAAGTATAAATAGCAGAATTTAATACATATATCTGGCTTTACACAGAGAATGTGGTATTACCAGCTCTGTAACCAATTGAAACGTGGACAGAAGTCTAGAATGCTGATTACATTCTTCTATAGGGATAAAAAAAAAAAATTTGTTTTTTATTGGGTCTATGCGTAACATTTGCATCTTGTTACCACTGCTATTTTAGCTTTAAAAGTTTTCAGACATTCCTCCAGGGTTTATCTTAAGCACGTTTTTATTAAGTTCCCTTCTTTAAAAAATGAGATCCAGTTAGTTTTGACGCGCGTTGCCTTTGACAATGATAATCTTTGTCCTTTCCAGCTGCAGCAAATTTACGATAATCTCTTTTTCAAGTGGACTTTATTAATCTTCCAAATGAAAAACCATCCTGAGGTAAAACAATTATTTCCAGTTCAACTCTTAGTAACAGTTAAGTCTCTGCTGGAAAAGACGACTAACATCTGGCCAACGCAATATCTGTACCAATTAAGAACAATTTTGAAACCATAATATACAAATCTATTCAAGCATTCGGAGCAAAGATCGCTACAGACAGATCAGCAGCCTTCTTGCATTTAGAAGGAAGGAGAAAAAAAAAAAAGAGAGAGAAAGAAGATGGAGAGCAGGGAATGACTGCAGCAGGTTTTCACCAAGTCAGCAGACTGGCTGGCCACACAGCAGCATTTTGCCTGTCATAACACACAGCGACGCACTTAGGTCTTAAAGTAGATCTCTGGAAGCTGGCGGCTGGCTGCCTCCCAGGAGCACAAGGGTCCGGCTGCCCCTCGCCAGGGGCACGCACCATGCCCAGCATCGCTGCGCCACATCTGCCAGATGTGTGCATTTGGGTGTCCCACCTTCGCCAGACTGGTGATGCTTCAGCCTCAAACAGCAATGTAACGTGGCTAATTAGGAGGGGGGACTCATTTGCTCCCCCCTCCCCAATAAGCAAGTAGATTTAACATCCGGATGCAGTTTGCAATAGCACCGCAGGCCATCACCCCTCAGTACAGCTGCCAAGGGCCCCAGCTGCCCGAGGAAGGCAGTTACACGGTGACAGCCTGCTCCACTTCCACATCCCAACACCTTTTTTTTTTTTAATACAAATAACCTAAAAAGATCACGGTAACCCCAAATCCCTTTCGGGCAGTGGCACAGTCACATGCACACAGCTAAACCTGCTTATCCCACTCCACTTACCCATGGAGGGAGGGCAGGATAGATCCCAAATTCAAACACTGGTCATTTAAAAACCCCATGATTGTTTGATTTCAGCTCAAAGGGGATGAAGCAAGACAGCTGGTTTCAGGTTTTTTTGCTGTCTAGAAACACATTTGTGTGTATTTCAGCTTATGACAAAGCTCTGACTTTTACCTACATTTCAAGACCCTGAAAGACTGGAAGAAGAATTTTCCATCACATTAGTTTGACTACAAAGAAAGTGGACACAGTTACCATTACCACTAAAAGGGTAATAACAAAACAATAACAAAAAAGTTACAAAGGATTTGGAATCAGATCTATTGCCAGAAGGTCTGTTAAATGCTCGCATAAGTTAAGGTAGGGAATTTTAGGTTCAGTTCTCCTATAAGTCTCCTCCAACTGTAAACTCCAACAGCTGAAGTCATAATGCACCCTGTAAAATCATGATCGTTACTAAAAAAAATAATTGTAAGATTAAGGCAACTTGCTAATTTTGGTCTGAAATATCTGCTAGGCTTCTAGGGGGAACATTTTCTCATTTGTAGGTCAGGTACAAACAAAACATGGGTAAAGATGACCTAAGTGCTCTGTTGACTACACGCTCTAGTATTTTTTTTAAATATATATAGCTCAGAACTCCCAAATAGTCTCTTGCATTACAGTGTCCAAAAAAAATAATGATCTGGGGAGACACAATAAAGGAGTTGAACATATTATCCCAGAAAATTTATCTGTAATGACAAAAAATTGCACAGAGAATTTCATCGGAAAGAACATCTAAATAATTTCAGCTATTGTTTTTAGGAGCAGCAGTAGTGTTACCTTTAAAACACCAGAAACAAAAAGCAATTATTTCAACTCTGAATTCAAACATTGCATTTTTCAATTCACTAGTATGCTATAATGGGTTTGTGTCTTCAACAACAGACATCACATACAAGCATACATTCTTGAAGAGAAGTATTCACTTGAGCAGGGTTCACTGACAGGAACACAGTCATCCACTCCGTGTTTTCCTGGTAAGAAAATAGTTTAAATAAGGAGGTTTTCCTAGCTGTGCCCTCCTAAATCAAGTGGTCAGCTTGGAAAGGGAGAAAAAGCTTCCATTGTTCTAGGAAAAAAAGGTAACATCTGCTTAAGTGTTATTGCACATCACGGTGGTGTCTTACTGGTCAGGTCACAAGGCCTTGTTGCTTCAAAGGAGGCTGCCTCCTTCTGCTGGATCTGGAGTCAAAATGGTTATGTGGGGAGAGACAACACCAGCAGTGAATAAAAACATTCCAACAGGCCCAGCAAACGTGGTATTTCCAGCAAGAAGATACCTGGAGCAGCACCACTTCAAAAGACCCCTGTCCACAAGGCCAAGGGGCTGTGCATCTCCCTGTCCGGCTTTTCAAACGCTCGCACAGCTTTGCAAGATCACAAATCCACATTAGAAACTCGTGCATGCACTTAGCTCTACACAGGCCCTCACAACATCATCAGGACACAGGCAAGAGGCTATTACTCCATTTGGAGAACATTTCCCTAAACAAAACTTGAACATAAAAGGATTCCTGGCAAGATAATGGAAACACAGAGCATGTATTTATATACATGTACATATGCATACACGTGTCATGACAAAGAACCTGTTCCCTATAAAAAAAAAAAAAACAACAAACAACAAACATGAAAATACTTGCACCAGTCTTTCCAGGACTGCTGACAAACACTGCAATGCCACATTAGCTCAGGGTAATGTAATCAAATGGACTAATCTACTCCGTCTGCAAGAATTAAAACAAAAACAACATGATACTACCTCATAAGCATGCCAAAGCATGCTCAAGGCCACCAATGAGAAAACCAATCCACCCCAAAAGAGTGTAAGGTGTGGTGCCCATCTGCTCAGTGAAGGTCACAGAAGAGGGTAATAGTCACTCCACTTAGAGCAGGAACGTAAAAGACAGACTGCAAACATAATTCTAGTGTGATGCATGCTAGTGTGTATTAACCAAATTTTATTCTCAAGCATTAGGAGACAAACCTGTTGTGAAAGCAGGAAGGGTGGCAAGAATAAGGTTTGTGATTGCCTCCAGAGGCCCCCTTCACTCCATTAAATTTATTTGGAGTATGCAATAACTTTGATCACACAAAGAGTTAGACCTGAATGAAGAGAATATTTGCTGAACACAAGCAAGTGAACGCACACCAGACAGCACCAACCACGTACCAGCAGCAAAACTCAACTTAAATGACCCATTAGTAAGTTCCCATTCGCTTTGGCAAGGAAAAACCCACAAAAATCACGCAGCCATTAAAAAGAAGAAGTGTCCCCAGCTTTTGGTGACGCAGCCCACACCCGACACATACCTTCCTTACACAAGCCACCACCAAGCACCACTTCCCCTCAGCTCCACGGCTCCCATCTCCGTGGTGCCAACCATAAAAACAAACAACCCCACAGTGTGACAGCATCAACCGCTCCACACCAAAAAGAGGCCAACTGCTTTCCACCCAGATGCAGAGGGTGCTGCAGCCATGAAGCACAGAAGCCTGAAGAAATTGGACTTCGCTGGTGAACACAAAATTATTACTTGAACAGAATATTCCTGCCTATAAAGCTTCTCTAAACTAAGCTAATTCACAGGGATAGCTCTGTTATAAAAGCTGAAGTATGCAGAGAGCACACTGCAGCTCTGTTACCCTGGACGGAAGAAATTCAGGCATGCTTCACAGGCCACACGGCCAAGAAATGCTGGCTGCCTCCAGGAAAGGAAAAATAGAAAAGGATTAAATTTATTCTGCAGGAAAAACACAAGCGAGACAACACATTTTAAGCCTAAAAATGACAAAACCCCAAAACGGGAGCATTCACGTTAGTCCCAAGGGACAGGTAGCTCGCAGACAATGCAGGAATTTCCCTGCAGAATCCCAACTACCTTTTTTTTTTTTTTTTTTTTTCCTGGCCTCCATCTCTGCCACGGATACATCCAGCAGGCAAATCCAGCAAAGCAAAGGGAACGCTCTCAGCCACCAGGAAAAGCAGCATCTGAAATCCCAGGGCTTCCCAACAGGCTGGAGGAAACCTCGGGATTACCAGGGCTTACAATGGCTGTCGTGGGGGCTTTTGTTGCCGTTTTGACCAATTCCGAGCAGCATCTTTCCGCACGAACCCTCCCCTGCAGCACTCGCAGCCCAAATATTGCAGCACTGAGCTAATTTCGGAGAGCTGGCGGACAAAACCGACTACTGATCAGCCCGGAAAACCGGAGACCGGCTAAATTTAGGAGGAACCTCAGCGATGCGCTGCTACCAGCGCCTTATCGCCCTCCTCCAAAAAGAGGGGGCGAGATGGATGGAGAGGGGGTCGGGACCCCGGGAGGACCCCCCAGCCCCAAACCTCGTCCCTTCAGGCCCCTTCCCCGTCCCCCCCAGACCCAAACCTTGTCCCCCCCCGGGCTCACTTTCTCTTGTACTCGTCCCTCTCCCTCTTGACTTTGGCCAGCACGTTGTAGAGCGCCCTGATCTCGGGGGTGATGGTGTCGATCTGCACTCCCACGCCGTCCGGGTGGATCCAGGAGACTCCGGGGCCCTGCACCGTCTCCAGCCCCCCGCCGCCGGTTCGCCGCACCTGGGTGTAGCTCCAGATGGTCCCGGGCAAGCGGCCGTAATGCGGCGGGGCCGGACCGGCTCCGGGCCCCCCCGCCAGCCCCGGCCCGGCCGAGGGGAGGCCGCCGTCGGTCTGCACGGCCTGATCGCGGGAGAAGGTCTTGTAGCGCAGGCGGCGGTCGCGCTCGCTCTGCTGGGCCGCCAGCTGCTTCTCCAGCAGCCGGTTGCGCCTCTCCAGCTCGTGCACCTTGGCCAGGAAGCAGCGGAACCGCACGTTCAGCCCCTTCAGCAGGTGGATGTTAGAGCCCAGGTCGTTCCGCAGCGCAGCCGTCACCGGAGGGCCGCCCGAGACCCCCGGGGGCCCTCCGGAGCCGCCGCCTCCACCACCACCACCACCGCCGGGGCCGGGGCCCAGCGGGCAGGGCGCAGCCCCGCCGGCCGCCGCCGAGCCGGGAGCGAAGGCTCGGGCCATCTCCCCGAAAAGCAGCGAGTTCATGGCGGGGGGAGCGAGGCCGGCAGCGGGAGGAAGAAGAAGAGGATGAGGAGGAGGATGGGGGAGCCGCCGCCTCGCGCTCCTTGCGGCTGCCGCCGCCACTGCCGCAGCCACCGCCGCGGTACCGGCACCCAGCGGCGGGCGGCGCGGGGAGGGGAGGGGAGGGCCCGGCAACGGCTCCGCCCGGCCGCGCCCCCGGGGGCTGCGGGAAGCGCCGCGGCCGCTCCTCCCCTCCCGTCCCCTCCTCTCCTCTCCCATCCCCGGCCCAGCTCGGTCGGGTGCAGGGAGCACGCAGGGGGGCAGCGAGGGTGGTGGGGGGATGGGGGGGCTGGGGGTGTTCAGCCTGGAGATAAGGAGGCTCGGGGGGGGCCTTATCGCTCTCTATAGGGACCTTAAAGGAGGCTGTAGGGAGGCGGCACTGGGCTGTGCTCCCATGTGTCTGGTGACAGGATGAGGGGAATGGGCTAAAGTTGTGCCGGGGGAGGTTTAGGTTGGATATTAGGAAGAACTTCTTTACCAAAAGGGTTGTTGGGCATTGGGATGGGCTGCCCAGGGAAGTGGTGGAGTCACCATCCCTGGAGGTCTTCAAAAGACGTTTAGATGTAGATCTCGGTGATATGGGTTAGTGGAGGACTGGTTAGTGTTAGCTCAGAGGTTGGGCTGGGGGATCTTGGAGGTCTCTTCCAACCCAGATGACTCTGTGGTGCTGTGACACCCCAGGGCCAGCCCTCGCGGTGCCCTCCATCCACACCTCACAGCCCTGCCCCGGGCTGAGGGGAGCTGGCCAGCGGTGGGCTGAAGGCAGGAGGGATGAGGTTGTCAGCCACCATCGGAACCTTTGAAGCGTTGTTACAATCTGGTAATTAAGTTATTAAATAAGCGTTTCCCGCTTACCGCTCCTGGACCTCTGGGCCGCTCAGCAATCAACGCGATGGTTTTAATTGAATTGCGCGATCGCTGCGGCGTGTCCGAGAGGCACCCAGCCGAGCAGCAGCACCAAGCTCAAAGATCAGTGGGGATCTCCTCCTGGGATGGAGGATGGCTTTTGGAATAAAAGGCGATGCTTTCAGGATCTCTCACAGCAAGCCTTGCAAAATCAACCCTTGCAGGTGTTGGAGGGCTCTCGGTTCACAGCGCGGTGCCTTTCCCATTGTTCCCCAGGATCCTGTGGGTGCACCTCCCGTGTTTGCCGGCACCACCTGGAAAAAATGAATGTGCCAAGGTGGAGGCTTGCTGTTACCGAGGTGACTCAAAGAAACACCCAAGGTGATTTTGCTGAGTGCACAGTGCCCGGCTGCCACCCGTGCTGGCGGCACTCGCCAACAAGGAGCAGCCGTCTCAACATCCACATGGAGCTGAGATGGCACCGGGCACTGGGCAGGGCTCCAAGGACAGGCCCTGGCCTGGGCTGGGTGACCCAAGCCCCAGGGCTTTCCCAGGACTGAAGCCGGTCCTAGGGCTGTGCGGCTGGGGAGCCCAGAGCGATGCACCTGTAGCTTGCATCACTCTGTGGGTTTTGCCACGACACCTTATTAATGGCAAGAACGTCCTCAGGTGCAGATCCTGAGGTTACTGTTAGGAGCAGCAGTCCAGCAAGAACAGATTTGGCCGTTTACCCCAGATCTGGGTAATCCTCCAGAATTTAGTGGTGACCCCTTGCGTTGCCTTGAGCATCCTTTGGTGCTGCACCACACCCTCTGCCGTGCTGAACAACGCACAATTTTAATTTATTTTGTCTTTCCTTAAGGAAGCAGGAAAACCTCAGAGAGTGAGTTCAGATGGGAACTCACTACCAAAGCTCGCTAATCAACAAGCCCCTCCACCAAGCCTAATTGGCTTTGCACCACACCCGGGGGAAGGTCACTGCCAGCAGCCACTGCAGTGAGTGAGCCTCTGGCATCCCTCAGCAGCCCCTCCCAAGGACACACTGATTTCCCCACCACCCCAAATCAATGACACCAGCAACAATTAACAAGGATTAGGGCTCTTCGGGGAAAGGGAATGCTTTGTTCCGTGAAGCATTGCTCACCTGTGGTCCAGCGCCATGGCAAAAGCTGAGAGCATGGGATACTGGAGCGGTGATTTCCTATTTGGGAAGGTAGGAAAAGTGATGGGAAATGGTGCAACTTCTGAACACAGAAACCATCCCATGGCAGCACCCACTAAATCGTGGTGACTGCAGCTAGCCATGCTAAGAATGATGCTTCCCATTTATTTTCATTCTCAGCACAAAGGCAACATTTGCTTCAGCCTGAAGTGGGCTGGGGGGGGAGACGTTGGGCTGGGAGAAGTGGGCTGGATTTGTCATCATCTTGCACCTGCAGAGGCCTGGTTTTTACATTCCCTTGGTGCAGATGAAAGGTTCATGGTGCTAGGGGAGCAGTGTGGTACCCAAGGCTGGGCTGGAGCTGGCACCTGCCCCAATGTTTTAATGCATGGTAGCATCCTTTGCGTGCAAACCTCAGCAACTATTTCAGGGCTGCTTTGTGCATCTGCTTAGTGGTCCTGTACTCATTTTTTCGGTGCTTCATTAGCTTGGAAGACACCAACCCAAGGGATTTGTCAGCTGAGCCCTGGTGCCTGGGAACATCCTTGCCCAGGGCTTTCTGTATCATGCAAAAACCCAACGGCTGCGCATCACCCCCGAAAAACTCAGTGGCTGCTGTCCCCATGGCATCATCCCAGGTCTCTGCTTTCTTTGGGTTTTCCTTAATGGCCGCATCTGCTGGTCGGAGCCCAGGTATATGAAGTGGTGATTTGCATGACCCAGGCTTTTTTTTATAAGAATTGACAGAATTTTTACAGGCATCTTTCCAGGATGGGTATTTAACATAGAGGATGCTGTACCTTACGGCCCTGCCAGCCACTGGGGGCAGACTGCAGAAAACAGCTTCTTTGAGGGCATAATAATCATATATAACACAGCCTTTGGAAAATAATAATAAAAAGCAATGCTAAAGGGGGTTATAAGAGACAGGACCATGTGGAAAGCCCCATTGGGGAGCACCTTGCACTCTGAACACTGAAAATATTTGGGATGGGAGCTACCATTGCTCATGCAGAAGAGCTGCTAGAAGCTGCCACAAGCAGCAGCGTGCTCCTTCTTGCCTTCTGAGGAGCTCTCTCCTCCCCAAACTTGCCTTTTCTAAGCTTTTCATCCCACTCTATCTAATACCTATACCATTAGCACCATGTGAAATGCAAACAGCTGAGCTGAAACCCAGCACCTTCTCCCATTACAGCTCTGTTCCTTGGCCAGACACCTTTTTCAGGGGTAAAAAAAATCTCAGTTTGCCACATTTGGTTTTCCTTTACATGCCAGCACTGCAAAGAAGAATCCAGCTGCACGGAAGGTCTGCCAGGAGCTCACTTCCATTCTTCCAAGTTTGCTAAATCTGCCCTCCAAGCACCGCTCACTGGTGCAGAAGACAGGGCCGGGCTGAGCGCCTTCAGCGCCGAACCCATCCCCATCCCCATCCCCTCTGCCACATCTGGCCCCTGCTGAATCTCTGGGGTCTGCAGGCAGTGGTGGCGTTGCATCCAGCCTTTTTCACCAACACTGATTCCTGAAGGATGTGTGGAAGGGGCACCACTGACTGTGCACATTTCTGTGATCTCCTGCGTGTCCAAGATTTCCCCAAAATTGTTGCCACAGATGGAAGGACGCGCTCCCTGCATCACCTCCCACCCCAACCGTGCCCTGCGCAGGTGAGCTGGTGTTCCTGCCGGGATGTTTTCCATCCCAGTAATACCAGTGCTTCCCTTCTGCATGGAGATGAGATAAATATTTTGGAAACAAATCTTCTGTGCTGGGTTTGACCTGAATGGCGGGTGAATTAAGGGGACAGGGATTTGGATAGAGACGCTTTGGGGAGGGCATCCGCCAGCCGGAGTGGTTGAGACACGTCGTGGGATGGCCTTGGAGACTGTGGCAATGTTCACGGCTTCCTCAGTAACCAAATATTTGCATCTGTATTGAGTAGGGCAGCAAATATGCCCCGATAAGCCTGTACAGGCCACTGCAGGTGTGCTTCAGCTCACACTAATTGCTTTGGCAGTTTATCAAGGATAATTGCAGGATGCTGCAGCATTAGTTTTGCGTGCGCCCAAATCCCTGCTTTCAATCCCATCAGTGCTAAGCTCCCAGGGGTGCTGTGCTGGCTAACCCAGGCACAAAACCATGCTGGGTGATTCTGGCCCTGTCTGGTCATTTCTCCTTTGCCTCCCCTCACTTTGCACCAAGCGGAGCAGAGCACGCGTGGCCACCCCACACCATTCAGGTGCAGCTTCAGCTACCTCTCGAAGACTCTTTCACCCACTCAGCACCTTCATTCCTTGTGCTGTGGGATTTCAGCCCGGTACGTGCCCAGGATGGAGAAGAGTCGATGGCAGCACAAAGATGCTGGAGCTGCTCCGTGCTCACTGACGTGGGTGCCATGTGCCACCAGCTCTCCTCTCCCTACAACCCTGCACCGAGCTCAGGCACTGGCTGGCATCCCCCCTGAAGGGCACAGCAGAAGAGCTGGTGGTGCTTCCCTGCTTCCATGCAGCCGGAGGACCCGCAGGCAGCAGAGGAGCTCTGTACACCGCCAAGTCAAAATTTCCCCTCCAAAACACAGCAGTAAGTCCTGGGATGGCCAAAGGCCAGCTGGAGGCGTCGACGAGCGACTGGGAGCAACCACTGGGAGATAACCCAGCCAGCACTGGCCTGCACTGGTTTGCTGCTCCCCTAGCACTGGGCACTTTTTGGCTCCCTGCTCCGCTCCATGGCTGGTTCCCAGGGCCGAGGGGCTGCTCTGTGCTGCCCAGCCTTGAACCCGCTGCCCGGCCTCGTGCATCACCAGGGCTGACTCAGCTCGCTGGAGCCACTCTCCCCGAGGGTTTCCCAATGTCCCGGGGTGGAGCGCCCTGACAGACGCCTGCCTGCTCGTCAGTGAGTGCCAGCCCGTGGATGTCTTTCCTCTGTGCTGGCCGCCTCAGTCACTGAGCTCGTTAAGGCAGAACTGCTGACAGCGGGCAAAGCGCGGACCGAGGGATGAGAAATGCGAATGAGCTGGAGATGGGGAGCCGTGCCTTTAATGTCCGATTTCATCATTAGCAAATTTTTTTTTTTTGTCATCAAATAG